ACGTCGAGTGCGGTTCTCAAGTGCTTGTCCAGATAGCTGTCGAAACTTGTTGGCCTTTTGCTGGGCCCTGTGCCAGGTGCAAGATGATGACGTCCAGACGGCATGCAACGAGGGTGCATGGTTTCAGGCAGAGAAGCACCGCAAGGCGATCCGGGCGTTCTTGGCAGGCCCCGGAAGCGCGGAGCGGTGTGCCATGTTAGACCTGTTCGGCGCTTCAGGGCAGATGTCCTCGTGTTGGCGCAAAGCTGGTTGGGAGGCTTTCGCCTACGACATCAAGACTAACAGCAAGCATGATCTCACGAGTGCAAACGGCTTTTGGCAGTTGTGCAAAGCAGGGAAGAAGCTGATGACGAAAGGCCTCATCTTCGGGGGCCCGCCTTGTAGTCTCTACGTGTGGATCTCGAAGTCGGTCCACAATCGAAGAGAGGACAACAAGTACATCGGAGAAACCGGGAACTTCAAGGTGCGCGTGAGCAATCGGATCGTGGCGAACATGTGCGTGTTCTTGGAGGAGCTTTCCAAGGTGAAGGCAAGGCCCTGCAGTTTATGCTTCACAAGTTTAGATCCAATGCCGTCTGTTCTGAGGCGGCGCCCCGAAGCATGTGGGTACGGGAAGTATACAGTACCCATTAAGTAAGAGTATGCCTTTCCTTTGAGTGCAGAACACATCCGTAACAGGTTTCGCCACCAAGACTCCCACTCATGTGCAGTCTTTTTGGCAGGACTGCGTCTACACTGTCACGGAGCAGCCAGGCAGCTCATGCATGTTCAAGATGCGAAATACCTCATCCATGGTGAAGCGGCTCAAGATGAAGTTTGTTTGGACCTGGATGGGATTGTTCGGGCATGACCCTCTGCTTCTTCAGGCTGCTGTCGCCTAAATCCTTGACTCCAAAAATTAATGCTAATCTGTGCCATGAGCAACTTAGGAGATGCAAAAGGGAACGAAGCTCATCGGCAACCTCCCTTCTCTCGGCTCCCTCCGGCGTGTGATGACACATGCCGGCCGAAAGCAGATCAAGAACAGGCGGAAAGCTCGCGAAGCTGTGAACCTTCAAGCTAAAGGGGTTTATCACGCCCCACATACAGCTCACTCCAGGCTCCAGGTTTCGAATTTCAGAAGCCCTGTGAGGCAGACAAAAAATGGAATGGCAAAGTACTACACGAAGGATCGTGTCTCAGAAGCATGCTGCTTTCGGGCATTCGGGGG